TTACACTTAAATAAACCTTCTTTTGTTTTATTATAAATGTAGTTTACAGGAGAGGTGGTTTAAGTAAAACTGGTAAATTCGGGTACACTGCTCCTATGGGGATAGAGTATCTGGGATTTCTGAGTAGCCAGTGTCAGGGGCTGGATATCCCAGGATAAGAATTCAAGGGGACTCGGGGACTGGGGTGCACCTAGTGTTAACCTGACAGGCAAAGTCAGGGCTGGCATTGCCCAATGGACTGTGCTTGGGTGGCTGAAAGGCTAGTGGTGTCAGGAGCTAACACCCAGCCATCACAGGCAACATGGGCAAGGCTACCATTTGCTGGAGGTAACAAGGTGACTCTCTGTACTGGGTACCCTGAGAACTGTCTCTCTCTCTCTCTCTCTCTCTCTCTCACACACACACACATATACTGTGGTCCATACATTAGTGTTTAAATTTAGTACTCAAAACCCCCGTCAGTCCAAAATGGGGTGCCCAGTGGTGCCATTTGGAGTTTTACACAAGTATCAAGGATAGAATTTGGCCTTTACATATTAACTAAGCATATTATTTATTATTATTATTTCTATTATCATTATTTCATTTTCTCAATGCCTAATTGTCACATTCAGAATCACTTAGTAGTAAATTATACTCTCCCTTAGGACCATGGCAATTTCTGCCTATGGCTTCTCTTCCTTTTCCATCCTCCTTTCTCTGTTCTCTCTCTTTCTTTTCTGTCTCCTCCTATCTTATGTATTTCCCTACCTTGAACAACACTCAATTTCCACTCTTGTGGGCTTCATTCTTATCTATTGTCTCATTCCATCTAAAAGGAAAATATTAATTCTCATATTTAGAATGTCATCAATAGGCTCATGGTTAATGTCCTTAATAAGATTAATGGGGATGTGGTGGAATTGAAAACTCACAGTGACCACTTTAGGCTCTCTGCAAACTCCGGAAAACACAGCATCAATTGATACTTGGTGGTTCAGATTTTCAAGTGTTTCTTTGCAAAACTTGGGACTGGAAACCTAATTTAAAAAATAAAAAAAGTTTAGACTCTGCAGAATCTGAATATACCACAAGGGTCACAAAAATACATCCAGTGCCAGTGGACCAGTTCCAATCTACAGGCCAGGTGCTTGACATGCTGAACTACAGTATGCATCTTCCTCAACTAAACAACAACAGGAAAATGTGTCACTGTTACTCGAACAATGTACGGCTCGCTCCTCCCTCTCTGGGTGTAATTGGTCTCTACGGGTTAACGGGACCTTTTCCCAATGAAAGAGCCTTTATTACACAATGAATATTCTTAAATATGTACATGTATTTATTAACAATCAACCGTTAATCAACAGAATACACATGCCAATAGTCTAGTGCTCACCATTCCCAGTAAAACAGATGGACTTCTCCCAATGGTGAGCCAGGGTCGTATCATCTGAGGCTCCAACTTCTGCACAATCTGGTTGTGCAGGTGTTAAAAAGTCCTAGCAGCATTGGTCTTGAGCTGTATCCCAGAGTTAAGTTCCAACGAGACTGTCTTTTGCCCCTCATTATATAATTAAAATGAGGATTCCTCTTCTCTATGCCTTAACCAATTATTTTACTTACAATATTATTTTAACCAATCATAACCCCTAATAAGCTAAAACAATTTCTCTGGCAACTGCAAAACCTTACAATATCTACTTATCAGCAAAAGCTACTTTTAACAAAACTCACACAGGTGCCCAATAAGAAACTTGCAGAAACTCAAGGTTAGCTTGTCGATACTCCCTTCCATGCCCATGAATCTGTGATTTTACTGTATCTATCCCTATTACTAACACTGCAGATGCAGCTGGTATTTTATTCTATCTGTCTAGGCCAAGGCCGAATTTTCTTACTCTTTGGTTTTCGTTTCCAAATTATGGTGGCTGAGCATACAAGATGGCTGCAGGTTATGCTAAATCCATACACAAGATGGCTGTGAGTCATGTCAAATCCATGCCTCTTGTTACATCACATCACACGAGATGTACTCCATTTCATTCACACATCCTCCTGGTGACACTAGGCAGCAGAAACTATGTATTAAAAATGAGTATACAGGGAATCTTCTGATAGCTGCATTGGTACAAGTGAATTTCTTTCTAGCAAGGAGGGGATTGTAGAGGAGAACACCAATGAATACCAATGCCTAATCTGTCTTTTCTGTAGCAAAATAGCAGAGTCTTAAAAGGGGCCATTTTTAGACTCTGGTCTCTGATCTTCCACCCTTGTCTCTTTTTTTTTTTTTGGCTTAAAGTGAAGGGGAATGAAGAAATCCACTTATTCAAATTCTAATGGTTTGACAAGTGTGGTCTTCCCAAGAAAACTGTACTGAATCAATTGAGCTATGAACTACCCTTTGTATGTCCAACATTCACTGTCTAGCCAGAAGGCGTAGTGTATGCATGTGGGTTTTGATTCCATAACGTCTATTTCCATTTATTCAGTTCCGATTTTCCATGTATTTTCAGATTACTCTATCTAGATTGTGGTTATATTTTGATGCCTTTAATATGTGTAAATTGCTCTTTTCTCTCTTGTAATTCTGAACAATAAGATTTTATTGGAAAAAATCATGTTGAGATTTTCAAAGCAGTTTAGGGAATTTAAAGACACCCAAATTTGAATGGAAGATGTGTATCTATATCCTCCTAGACCAGTGTGAAAATCTCAGGTTTATTTTTCTGTACTGACAGAGACATGGGTTAAGATGTAATCAGCAAGACCATTATATTATCTTAGCAACACAGGACTAATTTTCTAAAAGTGCAGTTTTACTTTGAAGTTGAGTATAAAAAGACAACTTCTTACTGAATACACCTGCTTCCTGTGGATATTTAGAGCCATCTCCACTGGCCTAAGGAACAGATATAAGTTGTTGTTTTTTAGTCCTGTTCAAACTTCAGAAACAGACCATCTCCGGGAAAGGGACCTGGATTTTATCCCTTTGTGTGCATGAACAGAATTGTTCTTCGGAGCAGACATGCACTTTAAAGTATCATTTACCCACAACTTCCTCATCTTAATATCTGTTTGGATATAAATAACTTCATCATTTCACTTTTCCAGTGACTGTCAGTAAAGCTATTGTGTGATCTTCAGAAAAGAAAAAACAAAACAAACAAACCCCACTCACTACCTTATGTTGGTGGTATATTGATAACTACCAGTACTGATCCCACTCTGTTAATTGCATCATCTGTGCTCAGAAAGAGAACTGGCCTATATCTCTGAAAGATCTCTCAATGGAGACTCTTTCTTCCCAAGTGGCTATCACTAGCCATGCTGCTGATAAGAAGAGAAGGAAGCAAAGATGCTTGTGCTACAAGCAGAAGAGGTAACTGCTAAAGAGGGAACTAACTTCTTCCCCTATGCATAGTTTACTTTTTATTCTCCAAACTGACATTTTGGTGATAATGCAACTCCTCACTGAAGCTACTTTGTTAGGTGCTCAGATACCACAGAGATAGGTAAGGTATAAGAACTGGGATAGTGTCCTGAATAATATCTCTTAATCTGTATTGTCTCATCTGTAACTTGCTGAATATTTTAAGCCTCACTTCTTTAGCGAAACCATAATGTCTGCTGGAGTGAGATTCTCAAGGAGAAAATTACTGTCAGATGCCTTCACAGAGAATGTTAACTCTCTTCTTACTGGAAAGAAGAAATATTGATGCGAGTGGCCATGTAAATGTGAGTCAAGAGCTAAGAGAGGTAGAGTTCTCAGCTCTCTGAAGATGACTATCATGGGGCCAGTGGCTCTTCAAAGAGAATGAGGGCTCAACTGGCCCATGATAACCATGTAACTGTAAGGGGACTCTAAAACTTGGTTGGCTAGCTCCCAGCACCAAAAGAAAGGTTCATTAATTATATACCAGTGTAACTCCACTGATTTCACTGGGGTCACTCCAGATTTACACTGCTACAAGTGAGGAGAGAATCGGGCATAAGTGCTGAGTCTATAGGTGCTCCGGGGCTCAAGCAGCCATGGGGAAAAAAAACAGTGGGGATGGTCAGCACCCGCCAGCCACAGCTGGGCTGCCGTTCAGCTGTTTGGCAGCTGGTGTGGAGCCTCGGAGGAGAGGGCGGAGCGGGGAAGGAAGAGGTGGAACAGTGCAGAGCCTTGGGGTGGAGGAGCAGGGCAGGGCCTTGGGGTGGAGTGGGGGTGGAGCACCTACTGGGAAAAATAAGTCAGTGCCTATGCTGCCAGCTCAACAATACTTAGGGCTATAATGTAGATGTGGATGGGCACATTTTGTGCATGCATGTGTGCGCCCATGCCCCATCTCAACGCTGAAATCCTCACCTCTGCTTCCCTTACTTCTTGGCTGCACTATTCCAACTCCCTTCTCCATGGCCAGCTCATGTTCCCGTTTTCCAGACTGCTGAGACCACACACCATACTCATTATATGAGTAAAACACTGTTTTTCCCTACTGCCAGTGCCACAACCTTCTCCAAACTTCCTCTGAGAGCTAAGATGGGCTCTTTCCTTCATCAGCTGCAACGGAGACCCAGCAGGAGAAATTCTGCCCCCGGGGTCTTCACATCTCCCCTCAGTTACACCTGCACCACGCCACTGACTGCAAATGTCATTGAGGGAAGAGTTTGGCCCTGCAACTGAAGCTTAGGCCAAGATCATCTCCAGTGCAGGAAACAGGATAGGAAACCTCAGAACTTCCTCAGGATTGTGCCATCAGGGAAGAGTTTGTTCCCTGCCTGCACAACTAAACAGGCCCATGTGATGCACAGATCTTCACAGATCACAGGCACCAGGGCTGTTCCCAGAGAGACCCTCTGTTTCCAGTCACTTCTGATGTCCTGCCAACCCCTCCTTGGCACCGATGGCTGGGAACGGCTCTGGATCTGTTTTAAGGTTGAGACTATCCTGCAATCTGATCCCAACAGGGGAGAAGGGATAAGCCTTAGTAACCAGGAAAGAGGCCACAAGCATCTGATCAGAATCATGACAATTTATTTATAACCTTAATTATATGGTGCTGAGGGGTTTTCCTCACCACTATATCAAACCACTTCGCCTGGGGGAATTGCTGCATGCAGAGATGAGCAGAGAGGATTCAGCAGGGCCCAGAATACAGCTCCATCACTCACGCATTTTCCTGCTCAACATTGGCTACGATGGGGAAAAGAGAATGTGAGAGAGTTACAGAGGAATCAATGACTCACGGAGGGGAAGCTTTCCCTCTTGTAGGTCACCTCATTCTGGAGCTGCAGAGACACTGCCCTGACCAGACTAAGGCTTCTCTACCACAGTGGCCGGACGCATCCCTAGAACATTCAGGGCTTCAGCCCCGACCCCTTTCCCAGCAGTGTTGAGTCACCCCAACCCTGGAAGATGGTTTTTCATTAATCTGTTTTGCTTTGCAGCCTGTTTTAAAAAAGCCCTGATGAGAAGAGGGATCCCAAGCTTGGGTTTTGGAAGGACTTGCTCTTGCTCTGTCCCAGCAACAGACACAGAAAGAAGCAGAGACTTGTCTTGACTGAGGGGGAGAACGTAACCTTGGGACTAACCAAACCTGCTGCCTCAGACTCAAGGCTTGAATCTGGAACTTGACAATGCGGGGGAGTTGGTGTTCCCTTCTCCCCTGAGCACTTAGGGGTGCTGGCAGACCACCCCAGGACATGGGGCAAAAGAGAACAGCAACTTTTACAACCCTCCAGACAGGCTGAGGAGACTCAGGCTGGGTTTCAGCACTGTTCTAACTGAGCAGTCTGAAAACCTCACAGTCGTCTCTTCATACGCTACCTTTGCTGCAGGGGGCGCTGTACTCAGCAATGGAAAATTCATCTGGAAGACACAAGGGAAGGGAGATGTGATCAGGGCTGTGTGAGACCCAACCAAGACTCCTCACACTTCCACCAGGCCCTGCAGCAGAGAACTGGCACCGCACCAGAGATCTCAGGCAGGAGAGGAGGGAGCCCTGTCTCCAAGGGCACTGAAGGAACCTCAGCTGGGCTCCATGGGAGGAAGGCAAAGGTTACCACAAGGCTACAGCACAACAGGCATCTCCAGTGAGTCTGTGCCAAGTGCCCTATGTCCGTTTGCACCTTGCCTGACACACGACCACTGGGGTTGCCGTTGGGCTCTGGTTTTGTCACCCCAATTTCCTAGCTGGGAACAGAGGAGTAAATGTGCCTCCCCCAGGTCACACCCAGAGCTGGGATCCCAGGGCAGGATCTGAACCCAGGACCCTCCTAGATCCCTTTGGCTCTAACCTACGTGGATTAGCAGACCGAGGGGTCTGGGGCCTCAGATACTCCCATGGTGCGAGCATGAGGTCAGTGCAGGATGATCCCTAGCATGTAAACCCTGTGTGCCCCGCAGTCTCATCCTGGAGCAGGGAGATGCTCAATCCCATATCCCAGCAGGTTCACTGTGACTCTGAATGTGACTTCTCCCCCCTTATGACAGGCCCACCAGCCTCCACTGCTGCCAGCCCCACCCGCACACACACCTGTCTCATAGTAATCATAGACTTTCACCACCGCCGGCTTCAGGCTCTGCACGGGGAAGTCCTGTTCCACCACGAAGGAGAAGCTCTGAGTCACATTGCTCACCTGAGAGGGAAACAGACGAGGCTCAGGAAGCTCTGAGCCACTTCACCCTCTCCTTCCACATCTCCTCCCCCCATCGGTGCCCCCCATGATCCTGCAGGTCTAGCATCTGCCCCCCTTGGCTGCAGGGCCTGGCAGGGATTCAGGCCCTGAGGGAGGTGGGATAAGCCCTCCCCAACCCCAGAGTATGAGCCACCGTCCCTGATACCCGTAGGTGGGGGGAGATCAGGGCCCTGGCTCTGTGTTGGGGAAGTGCTGAAGGGAAACACTGGGCAGGAATACATGGGTTTGTCTTTCCAAGCTGAGGCTTGGGAGATCCCCTCCCCTGGGCACTTCTATTGGGAGTACATTGAGGGTGACTCTTCCTGGCCCATTCCTGCCCCGTGCAGCCACTCACCTGCTCCATGTAGAGCAGCACGTGGTTGGTGCTCAGTTCTGTGCGGTGGATGTGGTGATGTCCTTCCAGCTGCCAGCAGCCAAGGGAGAGAAGCTGGATGTAACTGAGCCCCCCTTCGAACCACCCTACAGCCCTAAGCAATGGGATGCTTTCACAAATTCATGGAGTCCAAACCCAGAAGGACCATTGTGATCATGTAATCTCATCTCCTGTATAACCATGGGTGTAGTTTGGGGACCCTGGGGGGTGTTGTCCCCCCAAACGGCAATTCTTAGGCAGGTGTGGAATTTGCCCCCACACCCCCCCAAATGCGCAGCCCCATTGCCCTGACTGGAGCTGCCCCCACCCCCTGCCACAAATACAGAAATCAAATTACGCCTATGTGTGTAACACAGGCCAGAGACCTTCCCCAAAAGAATTCCTAGAGCAGATCTTTTAGACAAAGACAAACATCCAATCTCGATTTAAAAATGGTCAGTGATGGAGAACCACCGGGACCTCTTTCCCCTGGTGCTGTCAGGGAAGAGGTGTAGTATGTGTCCCCACCCAATTGGTGGACTGGAGGTATCAAGTGCATCTGAGGGGCTGGACCCCAATCAAAGGCAGCACCAATTCCAGTATACCCAGCCTCAGTCAAACAGACCTAATAGTTCTTCCTCATTCTCTAGGTCTTAGACTGGCTAACACTGTCTGCAATGCCGGGGTCACTGCACAAGGTCTCCATAAGCCCAGGCTGGAGTTAGACATGGAAGGAGCTGCTGTCTACACAGCAGATCCTGCAGCTGGGAAATCTGCAGGTGAAAAGCTGATCTGAACTGGCCCCTGTGACAGAAGTGGGGTGGGGACCCTTCAGGATTCCAGTGGAAAAGAAGAGAAACAGACGACATGGGGGGCCCTACTGCTGCAGATGAGACCAGGCTGCACCCATAATATGAGGGGTCAGGAATTGGAGCCCACTGGGGGCCAGATACCTCTCAGGTGGGGCTGAAGGCAAGGGGCTCTGGAGAGGCTATAGCCCATACACAGAACAGGCTGTTACCTTCCTCACTGATGACTTCACAGGAATGAATCCTGACAGCATCTTAACATCAATGATGACCATGTTGGAGACGGGGCGTTTCCCTGTGTAACTGGGAGACCAAGCAGGAAATGAAACAAGGTTTAATACATCTCAGCACAGAGCTGATGCACCTCAACTCTGATTGGCACAGGTGCACACTCCCCCGATCTGTAGCATCTCCCACCCCACCTGCTTGTCCACCTGCAATCTCCTGGAGTGACCCATCCCCAGCCGTAGGGCTCAAAGGCGCTGACTCCATGTGTGCTCCAGGGCTGGAGCATCCACAGAAAAAAACTGATGGGTGCTTAGCACCCACCGGCAGCCCCCCTATCAGCGCCTCTCCCTCTCCCCAGTGCCTCCTGCCCTGAAGCGTCCAGGAGGAGCTGCGGAGAGGGGGTGGAGCAAGGTTGGGGCGCGCTTGGGGGAGGGGGTGGAATGGGGTGGGAAGAGGCGGGCGGCGGCATGATGGGGGTGGGAAGAGGCAGAGCAGTGATGGGGCCTTCAGTGAAGGGGTGGAATGGGGGCAGAGCCTGGGGGGAAGCACCCCATGGCACATTAGAAAGTTGGCACCTAAACTAGGGCTGCTCCGGAAGGCCTGGACATGTGAGGGGAGTTACCTGATGTTTATGGCAATGCTAAAAGTCCTGTGGACCTGGGGGCTGTCACATGTCTCGGGGACCGTGTGCACCTCCAGCGCGCATGGTGCCTCTTCCGGCTTGGGGAGCACGTTGTACCTCAGGCTGGTCTGGAAGAGAATGCACAGTTCTATGTGAGCCTGTGCGTATCTCCTCTCTGCTTATCTCCTCTGCCTCCTTCCCCCGGTCCATCTCATTCCCTCCTTTGTTTTCTCTTTCCCCTTCCTCCTCTCACTAGCTCCCCATTCCCTAACTCTGGACATGCTCTTTCCTCACACCTTTTCCTATTTTCTCATCCTTATCTCCATCTCTTTCTCCCTTCCCTCCCCTACCCATCCCACCTCACCCTGCCATCTCCAGGATGAGCCAGACGCCCTCAGCAGCAGCCTCTCCCTCTCCCCCTGCCCCTGGGCCCCTCACCTGCACATAGACACATCCTTCTCCTGTCACCCCCGTGCTGTAGTCTCCTGGCACCTCTGGCAGTGCCACATGCTGGAGCAGCAGACGGTTCGTGTGATCCACCTGGAACTGGGTCTGAAAGTTCCCTGTGGATTGCAGGGTCACTGTGGATGCTCCTCCGCTCTTGGTGTAAGTAGAGGCTCCATATCGGGACAGGGCCTGGAGCGCCACCACTGTGTCCTGCCAGACAAGAGATGGGCCCAGGTGCCCAAAGGAATGAATGAGCCATTTCTATGGGCCTGGAGCCCCCACTCCACCGGCTCCTCCCACACAGCACCGCCCTGCTCAGAAAGGTTAGTTTTTCCCATTTCCACCCATTCTCTACCCATGACTCCCACAAGCCATTCACCTATTCCCTGGACCCAGATCCTCCAAGGTATTTAAGCACCTTTCTCCCACTGAAAGCAGCCAAGTGTCTAAGTACCTTTGGGAACGTAGGCCTTGGGAATTCTGACACTCCACTACAGGGAGCTGAGGGAAGAAGCCACCCACCCTCCCGTGAAGGAGCAACCTGAAGGGACAGCTGACGGGGCAGACAGATAACAGAGGCAGATGCACCCACGTGCCTCAGCAGCAGGAAAACAGAATTACAACCCTATTGTGTTAACCAAATCCCTCCGTGAAGTAGTCTTCCAAAGGGAAACACTTCATGCACTGTCTTCAAGAGGGATGTGTTTTGGGCTGCCTTTAATCAGGTGGCACTTTCTGGTTCTACATAACTCGGGATGGTGCCCCCACCCCACCTAGGGTGACCAGATGAGAGGAAGAAAATATCGGGACACATGGGGCGGGGGGGCTGCCGGCAGAGCAAAAAAAAAAAAGCGGAGCAGGACGCGGGACAAACACCTAAATATAGGGACAGTCCCGATTTTATCGGGACGTCTGGTCACCCTAGCTCCACAAGGTGTGTCTGGCAGTGGCTAGCTGCTGCTGCTTCTCTGGGGAGTCCTCAGCTCCCGAGCTGGATTGGCTGGGCTGGATGGGGTCAGTGCTGGGGGGAGCTGAGGAAAGCGTCATGTTGGTGGATGCTCAGGACGACAAGTCTGCCCTCTGTACACAAGAGCATCACTTGTCCAGTCTCCTGCCTCATTAGCCCACTAAGGCCTGTGGGGATCTGATGTAGCCATGCTCCATGCTGTGACTATCCCATGATCTAACCCCCTCAGAAACAGAGGTTCTCTAAACCCTGCAGCGAGGGCACTGTCGCCCCCTCCCCCTCCCCAGAAGGAGTCTGTCTCTGTTCCAATGCTGGGTTATTCATTCTTCTCTGGCAACCTGATATATATATCTCCTGCCTCCCCCTCCTGCCCTGGGTGTCTGAGGCTGGGGATGGGAACAGCTCACCTGGGTGGAGGAAAAGCCCCCGTTGGGATTCTGCTGCTTGCTGATCCACTTTGCAATTTGAGCTGCTAATGATAGGTCTTCTTGGGATGGTGCCGGCCGCGTGGGGAGGTAAGCGAGGAGCACGTAGGACGTCATCTCCACCTCGGCGGAGGGAGCACGGGGATGATAGAACGGGAGATCAGCCTCTGGCTGCTTCCCGGCCTCTGCCAGTGAACGGAGCCATTTGCAGTGGGAGAAGGGAGAGGGAGGAGAAAAGGAAATGTTTATTACCGAATATCTGGTTTTTGCCAAGAGGGTTACTGACATACTGTCACTGAGGATGGAGAATGGAGTCCCAACCCTTGCTGGGCATGTCAATACAAAGCATGAAGGTATTAAATAATCCCTCATGATTGGATGTTAGGATATAGATATTCAGGCCTGTCTGTAAAGGCCTATACTTTAAGAATTTAGGTGTATTCTTATCACTTAGCTAGTTATAGAGGTATAAAAGAAAGAATCAAAATCACTGTCTGCCTGTGTAAGGGCCTTCTCTTACTGTGACAGTCTGAAGCTCTGTTCTTAGGCTAAGGCCTTCAGCTAAGCAGCAGAGGCAGCCATAAACTGAGAAATGTACGGTCACATCCTCACATTCCAAATTAGTCACTTTGAAATAAGGTGCTATTGGGCTGTTAGGAATACAATCCTGTCCTGATAATGCCTATCACCTCCAGAGAAAGGGAAGAGCCTAGAAAATGTAAAAGGAAACTTAGTTTGATAGCATCCTGTCTGGCAAGAACTCACTTATCAATAGCTGGGATGTGAAATCCTCATCTCTTTGTTCTTCTATAGTCTTCACTTCCCTATTGTTTGTCTGTATAATCTCAGTTTGGTTCTGTGATTGTTTCTATCTGCTGTATAATTAATTTTGTTGGGTATAAACTAATTAAGGTGGTGGAATATAATTGGTTAAATAACCATGTTATAATATGTTAGGATAAGTAGATAGCTCAGTGGTTTGAGCATTGGCCTACTAAACCCAGAGTTATGAGTTTGATCCTTGAGGGGGCCACTTAGGGATCTGGGGCAAAATCAGTACTTGGTCCTGCTAGTGAAGGCAGGGGGCTGGACTCGATGGTCCTTTCCAGCTCTATGAGCTAGGTATATATTTTATTTATATTATTGGTTAGTTAAATTTCAGTAAAATGATTGGTTAAGGTATAGCTAAGCAGAACTCAAGTTTTACTATATAGTCTGCAGTCAATCAGGAAGTAAGGGGAGGGATGGGAACAGGGACTGGGGGTAGGGGAATTAGAATCATGTTTCGCTGCATGGGAATAGGAACAGGGAATGGGAACAGGGACACAGGCAAGGCTCTGTGGTGTCAGAGCTGGGAAGGGGGACACTGAAGAAGGAAATTAGAAGTTGCTGGAAGTTTACCCCAATAAACATAAAATTGTTTGCACGTTTGGACTTTGGGTATTGCTGCTCTCTGTTCATGCGAGAAGGACCAGGGAAGTGAGAGGGTGAAGGAATAAACCCCCTAACACTAGACCCCTAGTACGTTTACAGAGACTATATAAAACAAACAGGAATAATGAAGAAGGGAGTAGCCACGCTGTCAGGCTGAAAAGCTTCCATCAGTCAGACCCATCTGAGCTGCAGCCAGACACACAGGAGACAGTGACCGAGCACTACAGCTCTTTTGACATGAATTTGGAATTCTTTTTTTCCATTGTGCATATTAAAAAAACCCAAATAAATAAAGAGCCAATCAAAGAAGCAGAGCTCAGCCAGAACCAGTACTGCACACCCAGATGCTTCTGAGGCCTGGGAACCGTCTCATTCTGGAGCCAGAGCCAAAGCCTTTCCAGACTGTTTTTTTCCCTCCTTTCCTTAGAGGTCCCTTTATCAGGGCAGCAGGCTGCCACTATCAGGACTCGGATGGGTAAAGGGAGTGGGGGAGAGGGGAGGCTGCTGACCCAGGGGAACTCATGAAGGGGACTTTGTGCATGTGGATACGTACAGTGATGGGCAGGGGAATCTCTAGCAGCGCGATGGTGATGTAGGCAGAGAGCGTGACCTCATCGTCCACCCCGCCCTGCAGGGAACCACACAGAGAGACACATTAACCCCACGCAGCACCTAAAGCCTTTCCCTGCTGGGCCCTCTACATACTACATCCTCATGCCCTTTATCTGCCCACTCTTGCCAGGCCCCATGATAGCTCTCACAAATGGGTATGTCTACACTGCAGCGGAGAACGTGAGACATGCACACACCAGCTCCGCCCAATCTGGTACACTAACAAAGGCAGTGTGGCCATGGGTGGCAGCTCTGGCTAGCTGCCCAAATACAGTCATGCTGAAGCTTGGAGTATGTACTTGGGCAACTAGCCTGAGCTGCCATGGCCACACTGCTATTTTCGTGGCTGTCTACCTGTGCTGGGAAGTACACTCTCAGCTGCCGTGTAGACACACTCTGCGTTTCTGTCCCCACTTACCTCCCATGGTAGTTACCATGTATCTGCCCCCTCCTTTCTCCTCCCCATAGTAGGTCCCACGTACAGTACAGTATCTGCCCATCCGTATCTCCAGGGTAATTCCCAGGCCCACGTCATCCCCTGCTCCTCCCACCCTGGCCCCATGTGCTGATGTGTCTGAGCTGTTCCCATGCGGAGTTGTAGCTCTCTCCATGTCACTGAAGTCCTGTATGGGTCCCATGGGAAGCCAGCTGGGCAGATACGTCACCTTTATGGCATTGTTCAGGAGCGTCCCGGAGCTGCGGAAGCAGCCATTTTCCTTCTGCTTGCCAGCTAGCCAGGCCAGGGCATCCTGGATGTGCTTCTCCTCAATGAAGATGTGAGAGCGGGCCTGCGCGAAGGACTTGAGGACGAAGGCTGTCAGCCTGCGACAGACTGCGGACAGCGGTGAGAGCTCCCTCCCATGCCCTGTGCTCGCTGGAGGGGATGGGGTCCTGGGGCATCGCCAACCTGAGGGGAAGCAGCAGGGTCCAGAGAGCTGGTGGCCATGGAGCAGAGAGCATGAATACATTGCCTCCACCTTCACCCACCTCCACAGTCTCCTTCACACTGATTTCAGGATCCAGTTCAAACTCTCTCTTCCTGTTTATAAAATCCTCCCTGGACACAACCAGTCTCTCAAACTTAGGAATCCTCTTCATGATAAATACAGCTCTTATAGCAGAGGGCCGCAGGGTTGCAAATGTTGAATCCATATTTAAACAGGGCTCCATGGGAGTTCCAGGGAGTTATACACCAGTTTGCCTGTACTTAGTAAATTAGTCAAAATGACAATTAAAAATAGCATAATAAAAGATTCAGATCATGATCTGATGGGGTCTAAGCAGCATGGCTTCTGCAAAGGAAAATTGTGTCTCACTAATCTCTTAGAATTCCCTGAACATGTCAATAAAGAGCTGAATGAAAGAGAATTGATTGACATAATTTTTCAGTAGTCTCTTATGACAGACCTTCTCGAAAGCCTTTTGGAAAGTCTAAATGAATTGAATAATCATGGGATGAGGGTTAAAGTATTGTCGTGGATCAGAAATTGGTTCAGGGACAGAAAACAAAGATTAGAATTAAATGATCAATTCCATCATAGCACAAGGCTAACAGTGGGGTGCTGCGAGGTTCAGTACTAGGACTGGTGTTGTTTAATATACCTATTAATGATCTTGATAATGAGCGATCAATGGCATAGCAATTCCTATGGTCCTATCTAGCACCAGGTTGCTCTCTACCTCTAACTCAGTTTCACCACTACGGGTATGAGAGTCTCCCCTCTGCAGCTCCCTGTCTGGAACAGCCTCCCCTGGATCTCTTCATCTTTTTTCAAAAATGATCTGAAACCATCCCATCCCCTTTGCCTCTTCAGTTCTCTCTCTCCTCAAGGCCAGTGGGAACAGGTGCTTTTTATACACAGCAGGCTGATGAAACCTATTCCCTTTGGTGTGATATGCCAAGAGACTGTGAAAGCTCCAGCGAGCCCTCAGGCCTTTAACAGCATCACCAGTTGACTAAAATTTAACACTTCCTTTATGACTATATAACAGAGGAGGTTTAGGGGAGGCGTGACTGGCAAGAAATCTCACCAAGTATTCCCCAGCTGCCTGTAATGCTCCCCAAATGTGCTGTAAGAGCCATCCAGGTGCTTGTAATTCAGCCGCCTCTGATAACCTGAAATGGAAAGTTAAAGCAGGATTTATACATCAGACAATAGGGGGTGAGAGAGCAGCTCACCAGCTCCTGGCCCTGATGTGTACTAGCCAGCACTGGTACACAAACATACACATCTCCATCCCACGAGCTAGTCAGCAGAGGGAACTGACATACAACACATGGGCAGCACCATCGTATTCCAGTAGGGGGAGTACCACACAGTCTGGTTAGCTAGAGCACCCAGGCTGAGAAGCCATTTCACCTGGCTACTGTGTGCAGCATTTCCACACTATAGGGGTGACTCATAGGATGGACACAACAGCCAGTAGCTCTCGTGGAGCAATGAGTGCGCGTAACTGTAGTGCTCAGACAACTGACAATAGTGAGCCAAGAGTGTGTCGAATGGGGACCCCACTCCCCAGATACACAACCCAGTCCCTCTGTCCTCAGCTGAGGGAAGCTCTGTCTGCAGGTCAGGCAGAAACAGAAAGCTCCCAGCACAACTTTGGAAGGGAGCAAGTGAAGAAAGAAAAGCCCCGTCCCTCCTCCCCACTGACTAAGTAGCCGATGGCCTTGGATTTGGTCTCCTCGCTCAGCTG